TAATTATAAGTGTATAGGACGAATATATATGTATTTGCATGTGTATATACAATTTTCTCTCGCTTTATACAAACACAAACGCACTTTATACACTTGCGTTTGTATAAAAAACGAGAGAGGCGAGGGAGAGAACGAGAGTGGCGAGCGAGATTCACCAGGAGAGAGGTGAAATAGCAACAGTTTGCTATGAGGTACAATTAAATCAAACTATATTTATAGCATTTAATTTGAATTAATAGTTTGCTATTATATACAATTTTCCCATTAAAATATGAGGTCATTAAATATGAACAAAATGGACTCATTTCATTAATATGAGCTGAAATTGCCACCCCTACTTAGAAGTACCTTTGTGCATAGATTTGTTTTATATGCATTATGTATAACATGAGATAAATTGATAGATTGATATTACTATTTTATCATAGTTGTTATTAACTTATTTTCTCAGTTCATTTTTGTTTATCCACTTTGAATTTTATATATTCTTTAAAAATAATAATTAATATAAGTATTTTATCGTAATAGGTCATACAAATATTTTAGAAAATAACAATTAGTGTCAAGGATAAAACATGAAATAAATTTGTCTTTTTATTATATGTGACAAATAAAAGTAATATTTTTAAAAATTATTGTACAAGTGAAAATGAACTGAGGAGTATTAGATGGAAAATGGATCAAGTTAAGTGGAAATAGAAGGGACTTTAAGGAAATGTTTTGGGGTGAAATATAGCTAAATAACCAATCTAGCTATATTTCGAGATCAAGTGGTGGATTCAAAGTTGATAGGCTCAGTTGAACCAATTGAAATTCTAGATCCATCTTAGTTAATAAGAGATCGTTAATGCAACAGAAAAATATCCCCCTCTCTCTATCTTTGATTTATACATAAAGGCTAAATTCATTAAAATAAACAAATCCATCTCCTTCGTAGAGGCATATCCAGGATTTCAACAAGATTTTGTGCACGATTACGAAAAAATGTATCTTAAATATAAATTTGATCGATTTGACTTTTAGGTTCTTAATATGAATCATTAAATTTTAAAAATTATAGATCCAAAATATATAATACTACTAGTTTTAAACTTTAGGCATTGTACAAGGGAATGTGATCTACAACAACAACAACAACATACCCAGTGAAATCCCACTAGGTGGGGTCTGGGGAGGGTAGAGTGTACGCAGACCCTACCACTACCTCGTGAAGGTAGAGAGGCTGTTTCCGGGAGACCCTCAGCTCAAGAACATCAAATCTAAGTGACAGGAGAGCTATATATAAAACATAACAACCAATCCAAAAGATAGTGTATAATCAACAAAAGATACAATACCATCAAGAAAGTAATGTGAGGAGTGAAACGCAGTAAACAACAATACGGCTAGGACTACTCCAAAACGCTAACACCCATACCCTCGCGAGGGACGGCAACACGCTAACCCTACTAACCTTCCACCTTAATACGCGACCTCCACTCCTTCCTATCTAGAGTCATGTCCTCGGTAATGTGAAGCCTAGCCAAGTCTTGTCTAATCACCTCTTCCCAATACTTCTTGGGCCTACCTCTACCCCTCCGCGTACCCTCTACCACTATTTCCTCGCACCTCCTCACTGGGGCGTCTGCGCTCCGTCTCTTCACATGTCCAAACCATCTCAGTCTCGCTTCCCTCAGCTTGTCCACCACAGAGGCCACTCCCACCTTCTCCCGGATAACCTCATTCCTAATCTTGTCGCTCCTAGTGTGCCCACACATCCATCTCAACATCCTCATCTCCGCAACATGCATTTTTTGGACATGTGCGTTCTTGACTGGCCAACACTCCGCTCCATACAACAAGGCCGGTCTAACTACCACTCTGTAGAACTTACCTTTAAGTTTAGGCGGGATTTTCTTATCACCCAGTACTCCAGAGGCAAGCCTCCATTTCATCCAAGCAACCCCAATGCGATGTGTGACATCATCGTCGATGTCACCACTCCCTTGGATTACAGCCCCAAGATACTTAAAACTTTCCTTCTTAGGAATGATCTGTGCGTCGAGTCTCACTTCCACATCTGTCTCATCCAACACATCACTAAATTTGCACCCCAAATATTCTGTTTTGGTCCTACTCAACCTGAAACCTTTGGACTCCAGCGTTTGTCTCCACACCTCCAACTGCGCATTAACTCTATCCTGCGTCTCATCAATCAGTACTATGTCATCCGCAAATAACATACACCATGGGACCCTTTCCTGAATAGACCGCGTCAGCTCATCCATCACCAAGGCAAAAGGGAGAAGGCTTAGGACTGATCCCTGGTGCAGCCTTATCTCAACTGGGAAATGTTCTGAGTCTCCTCCAATTGTTCTAACCCGAGTCTTGGCTCCGCCGTTCATGTCCTTTATCATGTGATCTACATGACATGAAATCATCAGGGGCGTTTTTTACATGGAACAATAAAACGGATGGGACTGATAGAGTACAAAGAAAAATAGATAGAGTATTGATTAACACTGAATGGTTGACACAAATGCCAGCAGCGGAGGTACATTTCATGACTGAGGGGCTATATGACCATTGTCCAGCAATAATTAGATGGGAACAAGGGAGCAGAGGAGGAAGAAGGCAATTCAGATATTTCAATATGTGGAGTCTAGCACCAGAGTTCAAAATGAAGGTGCAGGAAAATTGGGAAAAAATAAGTGAAGGTAGACACATGTTCAAGGTTGTAGGGAAACTAAATAGGTTGAGAAAGGTGCTTAAAACACTGAACAGAAACAGGTTTAGTGAAATGGAAACAAGAGCAGATTTGGCCATAGAGAAATTGAGACAATGCCAAGACATGATTCAGTTAAACCCTCTGGATATGGACCTTTACATGGAGGAGAATAAGCTATCACAGGAGGCAAGGCTACTTGAAAAGGCAAAGTTTCAGTTCTTGAGACAAAAGAGCAAAATGCAATGGCTTAAAGAAGGAGATCAGAACACGAAGTTCATTCATAACTATCTCAAAGCAAGGAGGAGCAATAATAGGATTTTCACAATAAAAGATACTAATGGGGTGCAACACACAGCGATTGACGATGTAAGTAAGGTGTTTGTGGACTATTATACAGGCTTATTGGGGGGCAAAGAATCATAGCAGAAAACATGTATGCAGTGATATAATTCAACAAGGCACATTGGTGAATGAAGCACAAAGAGATGAACTAACAAGAGAGTTTACAAAGGAAGAAGTGAAACAAGCACTATGGGCCATAGATGGGAACAAGTCACCAGGACTTGATGGGTACGGTAGTAAGTTTTTCAAGGACTGCTGGGGTATAGTTGGAGAAGATGTTACTAAAGGGATACTAGAATACTTCCAAAATGGAGAAATGCTAAGAGGGGTGAATGACACAGTAATCACATTGATACCAAAAGGTGTGCATATGGAGAATGTGACTTGCTTGCTGCAACACTGTGTATAAGGTGATATCGAAAATGCTTTGCAATAGACTGAAACATGTACTGCCGACAATCATATCAGACAACCAAAGTGCTTTTGTTACTGGAAGAACAATAGTCCAAAACATCCTCATTTGTCAAGATTTGATGAGATTGTATAACAGGAAGAATGCCACAAAAAACTGCCTACTTAAGATTGATTTTAGGAAAGCATATGACAGTGTTGAATGGGATTTTGTAGAAGAAATGTTATACGGATTACAGTTCTCGTACAAGTTCATTAAGTGGATAATGGGATGCATAACCACAACTCAGTTTGTGATTGCTATAAATAGAGGGTTGTATGGAAACACAAAAGGAAGAAGAGGACTACGACAAGAGGATCCCATAACCCCCCTCCTCTTTGTAATATGCATGGAGTACTTTTAGGCTGATGAAATGGATTGCTACATAGGATGGATTCCAGTTCCACCCAAAATGCAGAAGCTTGGGACTGAATCATTTATGCTTTGCTGATGATATGCTACTGTTCTGTAAAGGGGAATTCGGCTCAATCAAATTTATGCTACAAGGACTGTTAACGTTTTCAGAAGCGTCGGGGTTAACTACTAATGCAGGCAAGTCAAACATCTTCACTGCTAATATGGATATGAGGAGCATTAAAGACATTTGTGAACTAACTGGGTATGCAAAAGGAACATTACCTTTTAAATACTTGGGGTTCCCATATCATCCAAGAAGCTTACAACAGTAGATTGTGAAATATTAGTGGACAAACTGGTGAGCAGAATCCACATATGGGGGACAAGGAACCTATCGTATGCGAGAATAACACAATTGGTAAACTCAGTACTATTGCATATACATACGTACTGGTCGTCCATTTTCCTGCTACCTAAGAAAGTGTTAAAGAATACTACATCAGTATGTAGGAATTTTCTATGGAGTGGACAAGGGAACACCTTAAAATCACCACTCATAGCTTGGAAGGAAGTATGCAGGAATAAAAAGGAAGGAGGATTGGGCATAATGGAGTGTATGACATGGAATGAAACAGCCATAGCAAAGAAGGCTGATAACCTACGGGTAAAATGGGTGAACCAGATATATTTGAAAGGAAGTGACTGGTGGCAATATCGACCAACGGCTGATAGTTGCTGGTACTGGAGGAAAATATGCATTATCAAAGAAAAGTTCGCACCTGGATATGATGGGAACAACTGGGCACCAAACAAAGGAGGTTACACGACCCAAAGTAGATACCAATGGAGAAGAGGAACTGTTAATCAATGGCCTAGTAGAGGGAGGCATGGAATAGAATGAATGTGCCAAAACATAGCTTTATATGCTGGATTGTCATGCATAGAAGACTATTAACCAGACTTGCAAAAATGGGAATTTGTCAGGATAAAGAGTGCTTATTGTGTGGAAGCAACCTAGAAAGTATTGATCATTTGTTCTTTGAGTGTGAATTTTCAAAGGAATGCTTGAAAAGGGGTACTTGATTGGTTGAAGATAGGAATCAACAAAACAAACATTGAAGGGAGCTGGAGGTGAGTAACAAGAAAAGCTAAAGGGAGGTATCACAGATCATTAATCAAATCAGTATTGGCTGCACTAATATATCATATATGGCGCGCGTGGAATGGGGCCTTGTGGAACAAAGCAGTAACAAGACCTGCAACAATACAGAAGATGATCAAAGAGGAGACCAGAAGCAGGACAAGTGGAGTCACCTGTAACATCTCGCAAACTGAAATAACTAGGAAGAAGCTAAGAACTGGAAATAGTCATTTTTGGAAAGAATGAAAATCTGGAAATTTTGTTAAGTTAGGGAAAGTTGAGTTTTTGATCAACTTCAAAATTATCATAACTCCTAGATCAGGATGGGTTAGGTGTACTTCCAGATATGGTGCGAAAGCTCTTGGAATAATCTTTCCAACGCCGCCAAGTTTGCGAGATTCCGAGTTCGTATGAGTGAGTTATGCCTATTGGAAGTTGGGTTGTTCGAATAAGGAAAGTCCAATCCGGATTTTTAAAGGGTGTTTTGGTCTTTTTCATACCCTATTATTTTAATTCATTTTTAGTGAATTAATTAAAGGTCAAAAGAGAGAAGAACGCAAGAGAAAGGAGAAGAGAAAAGCAAGATTCTTCGTTTCGTAAGGAATTGATTGCGGGTTTCTTCAAGGATTTGATCCTACAAGGTATGTGAGGCTTTCATAACGTTAGGCTCATTCACCCACGTGCCAAACATGTTTATTTCAACATGAATTCGTCCTAAAAGAGTTTGAAAGTTGATGTTCTTGATATGTATTCTTGAATTTGATATTGTTCTTGAGTTGGGCTGAAATTGTGAAGTTTCTGAGCTCATTACGTCAAATTATTGAGTTGGCTGGAGTTAGGTTCTTAGGTACAATTTCAGGGTATCTGTATCTAAAAAGAATTTGGAAAAAAGAACCGAGTTTGGGCGAATTGGGGCTGGAAAACGAAGAAAAAAATTTAGTCGGGCAAATCTGGGCACTGGCTCCGCGTCGCGGACCTGCTCCTCATATTTGAGAAAAATCTCTTCGCGGAGCGGAGCGGTCAGGAACTGTTCTGCCTCAAAAGTTATTCTCGCAACCAAAATTTCAATACATCTCCATGTCGCGGACCTACCCTCAGATAGTATCTTTTCTCATGTTTAGCTATCTAAAAACACTCCTAAACATCATGAGATATTTCCTATCACAAATCACGATCCTTGAATTCATAATTCAATTCAAGGAAAGTTAAGAGTCAAGAAGCAAGTCAAGAGAAGTTCATTAAAGTTTTTCAAAAGTCTTTCACAAACGTTTTAACTTTGTTCTAAGACTTAAGTTTTAAGTTAAGCAAAGAGTAAAGAGTTGAGTTCATTTCTCCAAAAGTTATAAGGGAACTAAGTATTCCCAAGAGTTTAAAATATTTTCACACTTGAACAAGAAAGGGAACATCGATTCCAACAGAGCTTTTAAGCTAAGTTTTGAGTAATTATCTCAACCAAAGAAAGAAGTTTGTTTTAAAAACATATGAGCTAAGTATATTTTGGGAGTAGTATTGAGCACCAATATGGGGATGTGAGTTCATATTAACTCAAGTCTCCATAAACCATGTCACCATCATGGGTAGTAAATGATCATACTTTTTATATGACTCCTTAAGATGCTTTTAGCATAGACTAGTGGATCCACTTAGTTAAGGCGTTCTATATGACGGCAAAGTACAGGACAGTTCTGGCAGCGTGGGCAAGACGATGTATCACCACTTAGGCTCATAGTGGTGGTTGTCGGTTAGAGAAACTCCCACAAAAACTATATTACTTTATTATATGAGTAAAGTTGAGTGTTATTGCATTTTCTTTAACGAACTAAGTTGCTTTTACTGTTGTATAAAACTTTTCATATATTGCATGTGTCTTATTGCTTTATTATGAGTTGAGTTGTTCATGAGTTGAGAAGAGCTTACACTGTATTTTGAGTTGAGTTATTCATGAGTTGAGTAAAGCCATGGTAAGTGATCCTTTCAAATCCTTTTCATGCTTAAGTTGTGTTTAGCATTCCAACTCGCATACTTGTACATTCAATGTACTGATGCCAGTTGGCCTGTATCATCTTATGATGCAGACGCAGGTAACCAGGATCAGCATCCAGCGCCTTGTTGATCAGGATGAGCACTCAGAGTCAGTTGGTGAGCCTTATTGCATTCTGGAGGACTCTTTTATTATTTGCTTTCTAGTTTTCAGTTGTTAGGATGATCGGGGGTCCTGTCCCGACATCCCTCTTTATTTTAGAAGCTTCATAGACAATTAGTAGTTCTGTTGTCTTTACATTATCATTTCATATGTTAAGACTTGAGTTGCCATTTTGGCCAAGTTGAATGTGGAGTTTTAAACATTCTAAGTTATTTTATTTAACAATTGAGTAAGTGCATTTGA